CTCTCTCTCTCTCTCTCTCTCTCTCTCTCCCTCTCTCCCTCTCTCCCCCTCTCCCTCTCCGTGTCTCTCTCTCTCTCTTTCTCTCTCTCTCTCTCTCTCTCTGTCTCTCTCTCCTTCCTCCTTCCTCCTTTTTCTTCAATTAAAAGGGTGAGCCGAGAGGGGAGGAGAGATCAAAGCAGAGAGGAGAGCCTCCTTGGGTGCCTCAGCGGATTTCTTCCCCATTTGGGGTCCGATGGGGTGGGGTGCTGTGAGGACTCCTGGCCCTGTCTCGCTATGAGGAGTGGTGTCTTCTGCTGGGCTGTGGTTGGGGAGCGGGGGGCAGTGTTCGCAGTGTTTGGTGAGGATGCGTTTTCAATGGGTTGCAAGGAAAATTGGGTGGGATGAAGAAAAAATGCTGCAGAATGCAATCCAGTGACGCTTCCAGGTGCTGGGGACTCCGGACCCCCGCCTCCCCTATGACATCATAGGAGCTTTTGCAAAAGAGACTGGGGGGGTGGGGGAGAGAAGAGAGTGGCGGCAGAGGCAGGATCAAAAGACAAGGGGGTCCTCTCCCCATTGCGAACTGGAGAAGGGCGGCCGGCTCGGGAGGAAGGAAGTTGCGGAGCACACACCACCCTCTCCAGGCCGCTCGGGAGGCACCTGCGGGTCTGGCGCGGCAGCCGCTGCGGTTTGCAGCTGGCGCGCAGCCCTCGCCGGGAACTTGGAGCTCGCAAACTCCTCGGGCCAAACGTGAGCCCCGAGGCTGTGAGTCCGCGCTGGGGCGGGCTGCAGTCGCTCTGCCCTGCTCTGCAAACCCTTGAGTCTTCCGGCTTTATAAACTCCCGTTTCTTCTGATTCCACGCCTCACCCTTTCCCCCAAGCTGTACGTCCACAAACACACCACACCACACGCGCACACACGTTTTCTTATTGCCAAAAAGGGTGGAAGGAAAGGACGGGAAGTTCTTTCTAAGTACACACACACACACACACACACACACACACACACACAAAGAATGGAATTGTTTGTCTGGATTATCAAGAGTTAAATAATAGGTAAAAGGAACTGAACTTACCCGCCAAAGTATGCTGACGCGCAAATCTGCTTTCCGCTTCATTTCGGGTTCATAAATTTAAAGAGTGAGCGAAAGAAAACGGAAAAAAGAGCGGAAAAGGCGCTGGGAGCACAGCGGGTCCAGGGTTCCACGGAGAACTGCGCAAAGCAAGTTGCCAAGGGAGCCCGCTGGCCAAGTTCGGGACCTGTCCACCACGCTCGCGCGCTCCGCTCCGAAGGCAGGTTCCAAAGGCTTCGGGCACTTTGGGGTGCGCGCAGATCTTCTCGAAAAAGGCGAGTGTGTGGGGTTCCTCCTTTCCTCCTTTCCATCTGGGGGTCTCAGGGAAAGCTGCACCCGGCGCCCTGGACGCCCATGAAGACCGGTCCATCTCCGCTCAAGCTCCCAGCAGCAGCAGCAACTTCGGACTCAGACCTCTCTCTCCAGAACATGTGTGTCTTGTGTGTGCGTGTCTGTGTGTGTGTGTGTGCGCGCGAGTACGAGTGTATATGTGTGTCCGCGTGCACTTGACATTTGGGGGAGCATGTGCTCTCAGGAACGACTCTCCTGGCTGCCCAGAACTTAGAGAGTTTCCCTTTAAGCCTGAGATGCTGCTCGGACACCCCCCCGCGTCCAACAGGAGGCGATGACGTCTGTAGCCTCGTTGCCAGAACCATCCCCAGGCTGCCGCTGTCGTTCATTGACAGGAGCGGGCGCTCGGACGTCAGCAGCCGGACCTTTGGCACGGCTGCTCCCGCGGAGACGGCTCCCACCCCCGCACCTGCCAGCTGCCCCCCCCCCGGGTGGGGTGGTCACGAAATCAAAGCCACCGGGAGTAGGGGCAGGGGAGGGGCTGGGGCTGGGGGAGGGGGTGACTCAGATCTGCCCTCTTTGTCCTGGAGCACCAGAGTATATAAATAGTGCAGCCTCCAGCCACACTCGCGCCCCCTCTTGCACGCCCCCGCAGACCCCCCCGCCCGCCCGACTCCCGCCCCTTGTCACTAAGCGTCCGGCTCACTCTGCCTGGAGGGAGGCTGGGGTGCGGGGAAGCAGGGAGTGGAAACAGACATTGGTTCTCTTTCCTCCTCCCATTCATTGATTCGGTTGGAGACCTAGGGCCGCCGCACCGGGAGTCGCAATGAATGGATGGATGCCCGCGCGCGGGGACCACCGGGTCAGCAGATACGTCGCCGGCGCTAGGGGCGCTCCTTCCGCTTGGGGACAGGCGCCCTCGCCTTGGCGCGCTGGGGGGACCCCAAACTACCACCCTTAAGGGGCCAAAGGCCTGCTCTCCCCAACACACACCAGGGGTCTTTTCTGTCCCTGCGAAGCTGGGACGCAAAACGTAGGGAACTGCGCTCAGTCCCCACACCAAGAAGAGTACAGATGGAGACCGGCACCAGGGCCTCCAGCAGCAAGGACGGTAGCAACAGAGCAGGGAGCGCCCGCCCACGTGGCCCACAGCGGGGCCTGAAGCCAAGCCCGTCACCTCCTCTGCGCACCACTGGCAGCCCAGGACAGCGCGCCCTCCCTTCCCGAGCACCCAGGGGCGCACTGCGCCTGGAAGGAGGGTACAGCGGGAGGGTGCGTGCAGGGGACTGCTGAGCGAATTCCCACACGAAGCAGGTTGTCGGGGAATTCGTGGGCTTGCACTCTCCAGAAAGAGCTGCTGCAGGAGCGGCGGGATGGTGAGGCCAGTGCCAGACCCTGGGTGGGAGGAAATTAAAGGACTGAGTTCTGAGGCACACCAAGAACAGGGAGCAGCTTCATAAATGCACCCAAAAGCTTCCATGGGCAGACGGCACAGAGGTCGCTGAAGTGAATGTAAGGACCCGGGCTCTGGGCCAGGTGACAACAGACATGCCTGGGAGTGTGGTGACATCTGCGCAGAGCCCCTGGTGGTTCAGCCTGTCCTAGAAGGGCCGTAAGAAGATGCCAGTGTCTTGACTTTCTCCTCTGGTGCTCCTGGTGCTCATGCCCCAGAAAAGGCCACTGGGAGCTAGATCCCAAACCCTTGTGCCATGAGAGGGAAGCCCCACACAACTGCACTGGCACTCCCCCCAAATTGTCTCCTGGGTCCTTCCCATCACATACACGTAACGTCGTGTCTCCACGGAAAAAAATAACTTTCTAACTCCACCTTCTCCCTCCATCTCCACCCAGGTTCTCTGTGCCCTTCACAGCAAACTGCAGCTACCCTGACTCTGGCTCTGCCATTTCTCCTCTCTCTGGGTCTTGAATCATTCCACAACACTTTCTTAAGAGTTCTGCTTCTGCTGTCCTGCAATATCTCACTTTTACCAAGGTCACCATTCAACCCCAAACTCTCTCTCCAAGGGCCCATTCGTAGACGTCTTGTATGACTTACCCACTGTAGTGGACAGAATCCCTCATTCCTGCCTCCTTAAGGCATGACCTTCACTTGGCTTTCCAGATGCTCCTGACGCTCTGCTGATTTGTGTCCTGCCTCTCCGGACATTCCCTCTGTCCCGTTTGCCGAAGGCCAGTGTCCCACTGTCTTCATGTTGCAGCGTCCCAAGGCTCATCCGGGGACCTTTTATTTTCCATCACTCCCTGCTCCCTTGGTGATCTCGCTCAGCCTCATGGGTTTAAATCTGAATAGTAAGGACGCTTGCACTTATATATTTAGCCCAGACCCCTCCCCTTGGAGGGCACTCTGGATTTCTGTATCTGGTTACCAGCTCCACTGGGGTGTCTAGAAGGTGTCTGAAACCTAACATGGCGATCCATGGGCCCTTGGTTTTACCCCATCGCAAACCTGCTCTTCCCACAGTTTTTCCACCTTGGTGAATGGCGAGCCCACCCCCGTCCTGTCTGGATTATAGCTCTTGCCACCTCCCTCAGCTCTCACTCTGCCTACACCTCCTTCACTCTATTCTCAGCCACATGGGCCTTCCTAGAGCCCACCAGGCACCCTCCCCACTCAGAGCCTTTGCAGATGCTGATCCTCTCCAGAAACTCCTCTGCCCGATGTCCTGAATATCTGCAGGGCAGAGTCTCTTCTTCTTTCACATTCTTTCCTCGTGCACCTCAAGAAGCCTCCAGAGCCCGCCCCGCCACACACGGCTACACCGCCTCTCCCAGCACTGATTCCCACCCTTCTTCGCTTTACTTCTTCCACGCACTGCTGGTGGTTGACTTCTCTGCCTTGTTCAGTCTCCTTTCCCAGCACCCTGTCAGCTTCCTAATAGCAGGGAGCATTGCCTTTGCTTATAATTGCATAAAAACTATGTAACCTCATCAAACTTTCTTTACCTCTCACCACACATTCAGAAGTCACTAGATTCATCTCTTAGAACGTAGAGGAAAGTGAGCTTGGAGGCTGGCAAAGGCCATTTCTCTGCCATAGTGACCTCTCACATTAAATGTGTGTGTGTGTGTGTGTGTGTGTGTGTGTGTGTCTGCCCAAGACCACGGCCACATTTCTGGTGATTCCTGAGAAATGCAGTGACAATCTCTCTACCTTCCTCACTTTCTTCTTCTATCCCTTCTTTCCCTTCTACGTTTTTTTTCTCTCCTTCTCCATTAGTCTTCTTTTCTTTCCTGCCTCAAGCCTGCCACGGGCACTTATGGGCCCACCCACCTAGCCCTTGGCCACAGGAGAGGTAAGGGGATCTTCGGGCTTACCTGGGTTCTCAAACTGCTGCTCCTTCCCTCCTCTCCTGCTTCAGTGCGTTCGCATCCCTTCTCATCAGCAAGTAAACATCCTTGTTTCTGGAGCTTTGGAGAACCCAAATTCGGTGTCAAACATTTCAGTCATTTAATAACTGCTGAGTTCTAGGGCCCCAGAATGAAGTCCTGGGATTTCCCATTGAGGAGCAGAGGAGAGGGGCAGGCACACCATCAAGGTGTCGAGGTGCTGACGACGGCACTGATGAAGGCAGCCAGTGCAGGAGTCCCAGGAGCCCATGCCACC